TTTACGACAATGGGGATATTCAGGCTCTTGTAGATGAGCTTAGGCAAGAGTTGAATTATCACAAGGACATGAATGCAAATCTTCAGATACAACTTCAGAAGACACAAGAATCAAATTCTGAGCTAATTCTTGCTGTCCAAGATCTAGATGAAATGTTGGAACAGAAAAACCAAGAAATTGCTAACCTGTCCAACAAATCAACGACGTGCGATGATGCTGAGAAGTTTCCAGATGTTATCTCCAACTCCAAGCATGAAATGAGTGATGAAGATGATGAAGAGCAAAAAGCACTTGAGCAGCTTGTGAGACAGCATAGCGATGCCAAGGAAACATACGTGCTAGAGCAAAAAATCATGGACCTGCATGGTGAAATTGAGATCTACAGAAGAGACAGAGACGATTTAGAGATGCAGATGGAGCAACTTGCCCTTGACTATGAGATACTGAAGCAAGAAAACCATGACATGTCATACAAATTGGAGCAAAGCCAGATACAGGAACAATTAAAGATGCAGTATGAATGTTCCTCTTCGTATGCCACTGCAAGTCAACTGGAAGCCCAGATCGAGAGCTTGGAGAACGAGCTGAAGAAGCAATCTGAAGAATTCTCTGACTCTTTGGTCACAATTAGTGATCTTGAAGCTCAAGTCAGAAACTTGGAGGAAGAACTGGAAAAGCAAGCCCAGGGATTTGAAGCTGATTTGGGCGCGCTGACTCGTGATAAAGTTGAACAAGAGCAGAGAGCGATACGAGCTGAAGAAGCATTGAGGAAGACTAGATGGCAAAATGCTAGCACAGCAGAGCGGCTTCAGGAGGAATTTAAACGGCTCTCTGTCCAAATGGCGTCCACTTTTGAGGCTAATGAAAAATTAGCTAGCAAAGCATTGAACGAAGCTAACGAATTCCGCCTACAGAAAATGCACCTTGAAGATATGCTCCAGAAATCGTCCGAGGAGCTCCAATCTATCAGAGACCATTATGAAGTAAAGATTCTTGAGCTTTCCAGCCAGGTGAGTAAAATGACAGGTCAAATCGACAAGTTGCAGAGAGAAATAGCCGAAAAATCTGTGCAACTAGAGAGACAAGAAGAGCTCGTCAAGGAAACTCAGCAGCATCAGTCACAGAAAGTTATTATCCTTGAAGCTGAGATTGAAAATCTATTAGCAGACAAGAAAATATCTTCTGCTCATGATGAACAGAAGAATAGCTTGATGGCTGAATTAGATAAAATGAGGACATCAATCAAGGATATGGAATTGCTTGTCGAACAAGGTCGCAATGAAAGAAGTGAACTGGAGACTAAGCTTGCATCAGTAAGAAAAGAAGCTGAGGAGTCTTTGAAGGAATTAAACAATATGAGGTCTCTTAAGGCTGAGAAGGAGGCAATAGCTGGGAAACTGCATTTGGAAATGGATAACCTTAAATCGAGATGCAATGAAATGAAAAGGATGTTGTTTGAGGACGAGGTGGAGAAAGAAAAATTGAAAAAGCAGGTGTCTCAATTAAAAGGTGATCTGAAGAAGAAAGAGGATGCATTGAATAGCTTAGATAAAAAGCTCAAGGATGGCAATAGTCGAATAATAGCTTCTAATGGAATGAAAGCAACATCAAAGAACAACAAGTCCATACCCACATCTGCAGGCTCAAGAGAGGTTGCAAGTCTTAAAGAGAAGATAAAGTTGCTTGAGGTAATTTACTTGCATTTTCTGTTTCTGAATGTATTCCAACTTCAATACGAATTGCTGTCTGTGTCGTCTTTTACATATTTTCAAACTTTACAATATGCATAGGTTGTCTTTATGATCTTACTAGGAAATAAACTGTCTGTACTTCCTTTATTACTGGACCTTTGTGTTTCCAGTGTTGTTCAAATTTTTACGTGAATTGGTATATGAAATAGCAACTGCTATTAATTTTGTGCGAATTGTTCCACGACCAGCAGGGTCAGATCAAGCTGAAGGAAAGTGCACTTGAGAGTTCAACAAATTCATTTTTGGAGAAGGAGAGAGATCTTCAAGACAAAATAGAGGAGTTAGATAGAAGATTAGAAGATCTTAGTCAGAATGCAGAAAGGCTGTCTGAACAAGAGTCCCGAAAGGTCAGCTGCAAGCCATCTTTATTCTGCTTTTGTCACAAAACTTAAGTTACTTTAGTAAACGCCAGCAGCAAGACAGTCAGTTTATTCTGTTCTTGAGAACTTATTAATCGGTTCACAAGGAAAGCAAACTGAGCATACGAGTATTATTGCATGGTTACGGCTCAAGTACTAAGCACAATTAACTCGTTCAAGTTTGAATTGACACTGATATGATATTAGCTCGTATTGACTTTTGTGATAGAGCATTCTAAATTTTTGGTTCATACTGGATACAGGTAGCTGCAGATGCTCTATGTCCAGGTTCTACGACATGCACAAAAGATGAAAGTTCCTTCACAGGGAAGAGGTACGAGTTCTCATTTTTCTCAAGCGCTTACTAGAAATCTGAATGTATTCCCGGACGTCTTTCTTCCTTTATCATCTTTGTAAATACTTTTGTACATGCAGCTGCAATGGCTGTTCATTTGACAAGGAAAATGAAGCCTCAGCGTCTAATACAAGACATCTCGAGGAATTGTCCAGCGAAATTGAACTACTGAGGGAGAGGAACAATGTAATGGAAGAAGAACTGAAGGAAATGCAAGAGAGATATTCAGAAATAAGCCTCAAGTTTGCTGAGGTAGAAGGAGAAAGACAACAACTAGTAATGAAATTGCGAAAACGCTAAAAAGAAACCATAAGACAGTTCCAACTTCCAAAGAAGTGATTACTAAAATTGTCAAAATAAATGTAAATTGGTGAGGAAAAATTCATCATTTTAAAGTTTTGTTTCTTGCATATAATGTTTGACTTTTTAGTCCTAGATATTATACAAGAATGTAAAATAGTTTAGCTAAATAGGTTGTGATTAGTTATTGGTAATATCTTCTGTTTATGAAAATACTCTTTTCTTTTTATCATTTAATATTTGCATGGACAAATATTTCGTTCTTTGGTCTGTAAAAGAAGAAAATTTGTTCTAGCTATTTGATCAATGAGAGTAAGATATCTTTTCCAGTGAATTTATTTTGTCATCAGTTTGAGTTTAGACTTATACTATTAGAGTTCAACATACATAAACTATCACACAGCAGCCGGCCGCACTAAGATCCCGCTATGCGTCGGGGTCCGGGAGAGTCCGGGAAAAGACCGGACCACAAGAGTCTATTTTATGCAGTCTTATTCAGCATTTCTGTAAGAGGTTGTTTTCACGTCTTGAACCCGTACCTCATGGTCACATGACAACAACTTTACCAGCTACGCGAAGTCTCCTCCTCATAAACTATCACACAGCCTTTGGGCAAATTGTTATGATTCTATAAAATATGAAATTGTGTAACTATTTTCCTTGATGTGATATACGATTACGACTGTAAAAAATAAAATATTACTATTATTTTGAAAGGCACTAAACTGTAGTGGTTTAGTTAAATAGGATTCACTATGCTAAAAGTTTGTGATTTTCATAAATTGGGATAATGCCTAGAGAATGCCCATAAAATGGTTAAATTATTAGATATCGAACTCTATCTAATGCTTCAGGTATTAGCCACAGCTCGTAATCATTCAGTAATTCTGCAGGTGAATCATTATGTATTGATAGTAGTCTGTAATTAATTTAGTATCCATTGGTCAAAAAAGTTGTTAATGGCAGTCTTTAGTCTGTACCAACTAACTTAAAATAATCTTGGATTTTGCCTTGAGCATGAACTACAATTATTTTCAATTCAATCCTATTACTGGTGCATATAAGATAGAACACTCTGATAATAAATTGTACATTTCAATATTCATTACAGGATTACGTATAAACAACTCATTACTTAAGTTACAAACTAATTAATTTCTCTTTTCAGATGTATCTTTCCCTGTTTGCAAGAACAAACAAAGAATTCCCAACAAAATAGGAAGAAGAAAAAAAGGGAGGAAAGAGATATTACAACAACAAAGATGATTCAGTCCCAAACAAGTTAGGGTCTATAATCAAATTTTGTGATGGATGAGACCACAAACAGTAACAAGAGCCATAACCAATGAATGATCAACATGAGGTTCCACAACCAATGTTAATACATCACTTCCAAATAGTACTCCTGAAGTTGCTTGTTTTTGTTTTACCTGAGAAACACAAAGCCAAAATTTTTTTTACACCATCAGTATACTTTAATTTGTTGTAGCAGGTAACCTGCATTATTTTTACGGACGATTATATGTTGTTATCTCAAAATTAAGGGTAGTGATTAACCTCTGCAACAAGTCTGCCTGCTTGGGTCACAATCTTAATTGATGTTGTGCCAAGGATAATGTTATAGCAATTTGCTTCAGCTTGATTACATCCCAATATAACATTATAGTAATTCATATTATCTCCTCTAAGGACATTGTGAATTTTCTTCACTTGAAACCATGGTATCTCCTTACTAGTCACACCTTCATAACTCCATTTATAGCCATCCCAATGTCCAAAAACTGGAACTTTCTGAGAAAAAAAGAAAAAAAAACAAGAAAATATGTAAGCATTTGAAAATATAATTAACTAAATAAAAAATGTTATTCTCTAACCGTTTAAATTTTTAAATAAAATGATTGTAATTCAGTTTGGTATTAGAGCACAGGCGGATCCACCTTGCGACCTAAGGGTTCACCACTTCACATGAACCAAATAGCTTTTGACCAAACAGTGTAGAATGTTCGAAAAATTTACTAAATATCTAAAAATGTTAAAATGTGAACCCAGTTACTATTTAAAATTTACTCGAAGTCGTTACAGAAACCCATAAACATTAAATTCTGGATACGCCTCTATATTAGAGCAGACAAAATAGTGGACTCAAATCTCATTGTCACTTGATTATTTTTGAAAGAACTTTTAGGTGTTTGGCTCATAAAAAAGAATCAATCCAGCGCGTAAACGGCCAACTTATGCTTACCCTATTTCGAATAGAAAAGAGAACCCTGCCGTTGGAATCCATGAGATGGACTTCCTTGCTACGTTTAATGTTGTAGTTGTCAATTCGGTAAACAATTTGGCCTTTTGAATCATAAACAGTGCAGCCATTTCCATGGTAGACTAGAGATTTCATCCACAAAGTAAATATTTCTCTTCTTGGGCTCATATAAGAGTTTGAAGAAATTGAAGAAGAAGAAGAAATAGTACTTAGGTTTGACTTGTTAGAGTAAACTTTAGCCATTGAAATGGACTTATTAGAGAGGAAGTTGGAAATTAATTTGAGGAAGAAGACAATGGACAAGGGTATATATTTTGCTAATGAAAAGGGGTATATATACTTGCAAAAAGAATATAAAAGAGATGGATTAACCAAGTGGACAGAACCATGCAAAATAAAGTTTTCCACTTTCTTGGTCACTTCTTTCTGGCTAATGGCTTAAATGCTAAAGAAACGTGCAAATATTAACTTACTTTTTTTTAAATAGGTGTTCGAGTCGACCTGCGTGTATCTCGATTATTTTCCCGAACTGTCAAAGGGAATTTATATGTAACCTTGAGGGGTTACCGGACTCCATAAACTTCGGTAGAAATCTTATATATTTATATGTGTATACCTTGAAAATGTTTTATTATATCACTTGCCATCCTGGACACTAAAAGCTTTTAGGGAGCATTGGTTGAGCAAAATACTGGTGCCCCTGTCGCGTTAAAATCATTGCTGCTTGCTACAACCAATTAAGCAACTTACGTGCACCTCGACTACTATATAGGATACCTGCTATATCCAACCAGCGTAGTTAAATTTATGGAAATAAATTACCTAATATGTTTTTTTTTTATCTCAATTAGGATTTACTTAAACTTGATATTCAATTTATGAAACAGCTAGACGATATATATGAGGATTGACGGTTCATACTTAAAGCATACACAAGTGCTATTGCTGTATTGCACTTGAGTTGGTGGTTTCTTTTTGGCTAATTATGCAAACCGCTAAGAATTTAATTCTTTAGATGCCTTATACTTTTAACATTGGACTTCAAATTAATAATCATTATATCGGCATCTTCTAGCTGTACATATATACACACTTCTTGATATAGAGTCAAACTATTCCAATCGAAGGATGGATGTACTCTGGAGATACAGCGAGTGTAAGCACACTGTCTTTTGCTCAAGTTATTTATATCTAGTTAATTTTGTTAAATATTTGTATATGTACAAAATTCAATCTTATTATCAAAAAGTAGTAGTGAATTAAGTGGTACTTTATTCTTACTAATTTAAACCTAGATCCGTATATGATTTCGTGATTTTTAAAACACTTTGCTCATTGAGCCGAGGGTCTATCGGAAACAAAGTAGGAGTAAGGTCTGGGTAATCATTACCCTCCCCAAGCCCCACATGTAGGGTTACAGTGTTACACCGAGTATATTGTTGGTGAAACACCTACAACTAGTGGTGGCAAAATGGTTAAAAAAAACAGTTAACCACTCATATTATCCACTAAAAGATGGGTTGAATAATTAATGAACTTTTAAAAACGGGTCAAATATGAATAAGAACATATTATCCATTTAGAAAATGGATAACCAATAAATAACTATTGGGTTTAACTTTTACTCTTATAAAATCTCAAATGGGGAGTTCCTCAAGTATTGGAGAATAGGAATTCTCCTAAAAGTGATCATATTCAAGAAGCCCTGAATAATATGGTTACACATATTATTCGCCGGTTAACCCGTTTTTTATCCGTAATAAATATGGGTCGGGTCAGATAATTTATCCTTTTTTATTAACCATTTTTGACCCATCCCATATTCGACCCGACCCGCCTGTTTACCACCCCTACCTACAACGCTTATGTCTAACCAGAAAATTAAAGTTAATTTGATATATTAAAGTAAAAATAGCACGGTATAGCCAGTTTTCGGACTAGTCATTCAAAAATAGCCAGCGTTTACCAAGTCAATGAAAAATAGCCACTATTTTGCTACAACAGAGACCGGTCCAGCATAATATATTGGAGTTCGGTGCACCTGTGTATGAACTCCAGCATATTATGCTGGACCGGTATACTTTGCTGGCTCCAGTATAATATACTAGAGATTGGAGCACCGGTGCTCCAAACTCCAATATATTATGCTGGACCGGTATACTTGCTGGGACTCCAGTATATTATGCTGGAGTTCTAGTGTACTTATGCTGGAACTTCATCATATTATGCTGGAGTTCAAGTATACTTATGCTGGAACTCCAGCATAATATACTGGCGTATTTTCCGGAATTTGAACAGTATTTTCGTTTAGATTTATCTTTACATGAAAAGTGGTTAAATTTCGATTACTTTTGAAACTGGGCTATATTTGAACGACCAGTTGTAAATCTGGCTATTTTTGAATTTTTCCCCATATTAAATTTTCTAGATAAATCACTTGTAAACAATCTGATCCCTAATATTCTGTTGACAAGTCAAATTATGTTCAAATATGAGTTATCAAATTTATATGTTGGTGGTCTCCCTAAATATGATGTGAATTATTAGAGGTTCAGTTTGCACTAAATATAATTTTGCATAAATATTATATATCCAGTGCTTTGACCGAAAGTAAAAGAGAGATTTTTTTCAAATATATTTAGTCAACAGAAGAGTGGAAGAGGCATGCGTATTGCGAATAGGAATATTTGATTTATTTAACACCCTTTTTTCCTTGCATATGCATGATTTGTAATTAGTTAATCGTAGAATCAATGTGCCAAACCTGATGAATTTTATATTGCCAAATTCCAATATAAAACGAAAAAGAAAGCAACAGAAAACTTAAAAATAACTCAAAAGATGTCAATCCTTTTTTATAACTACTATACTACATATGGGATTACTTTTTAAAATTATCTTTTAGAAGGAAATGAAAAACGAGAAAAAAAGAAATGAAATACAGTAAAAAAGAATTACATCTGCTAGCTAAA